AGATCTCTTCCTGTCTCTTGGGTTAGTTTCCATAGTAATTGAATTATTATTTTACTCATTTGTATCTGTTGGGTTCATTATGGTTTGAACATTATATGGTTGTTGTTTTGTCACATCTAACATATTCGACGTTATGTTTTCCAAGATTACTAATTAAAGTGCTTTTTTAAGACTATTTACTCAGCCCAATAATTATTTCAGATCTGAGCTTTTATTTAACTAATTAATCAGTTTTAGCATTTCATGCTTAATGGATATTGTTTCTTACACTACACCCAAATTTTTCAAAAGTTGATTTACAGAATTTGACTTCAATCGTCTTTAGTGCGTTTATATTCTGGGTTTAATTTAACTATTTGTTATAAATAAACGTGTGCAGGTGTCGATCAAAAGTGCTTTTAATTGTGAGGACAAAGAATGGAGTGGCTTATACATAAACATCTTTTAATCTATCTCATTTTTTCTAGGTTTTCTAATCCTTAATGCTATGAGTCGAATCGATTTGATTGAAATTCAAGAATCGTCTCCGGTTGAACAACTCGATGACGACGTCTATATCTCTCCACTTTCTTTCACCTCAAAAGATTCCAAACGCAAGAACTTCAGTTTGGTAGAGATATCAGGTAAATTTAATTCCCTCTTCCTACTATTGTAAAAAGTAACTAAGATTAACTCAAGATGATTCTTATCTTGATCATCTTTTATTTCTTTACAAGGCTGCTGTATGTCATTCCAATTCTAAATATTCCATTTGTTCATGGCGATGGATTAGATTTGGGTAGGAATTTTCTTACAGTTGATAATTTTCCTCCTTTACCAGTCCATCTTAAATAAAGCACAACCGTTTCGTTTGATTAGAGTTTAAAAGACTCATTAAAGCATTGTAAAAAAGTGCGTAGCTAGTTCTGTGGACGACGATCCAGTCCCATTATTCATCAGTAGAGTTTTGGTTGGGGGTCATATCGATTGTGCTTATCGACAGTACCTTGTTAACATAGTGTGGACTTGCTAATAGGAAATCCCATGTATGGAGAAAAAAATGAATTAATGAAATTTCTGTTAACAATCTCAAATCATCATCAAACTTAGCAATAGTTAAGAGAAGTCAAATTTTAAAGATATCACGACTTTAAATATGAATATTATACCGTTTGCATGGCTATTTCTTTTATTCCGATAGACAATTTCGTAATTAATCGTCATTAACAAAATGGAAGGAGCGAAATCCTAAAATTTATTTTTTTCAAATGGCAGGCGTTTTGATAGATATCATTAGCCATTTAGCTGACTTCGGGCTTCACAGAGGGAAGGTTCATCAGAGTAGCAGAAAGTCAAGGGGTGGGGAACAGAAGTTCGATTCACAGATGTAAAAGAGGCAGACAGACACAAAGGTAGAGAAAAAGGTAAGGTGAGTACTGTGAAATGGGTCAAATATGACAACCAGGGGGGTCGTGGTAGTCTGAAGTCAGAAGTCAAATGCCTGTTAATAGACTTTTTGCCGTATGAGTATACGTTGCCCAGGGTGCACCACGTGGAGGTAAGTCTATCGCAGACTCCTAATATCGCCAAGGAAAATGGTTTTATAATTTTGCTTACTTGCTTTTTCTCCTTGGCGAAAATGACGGATCCCCTATAGCGTAAGAAAGATGAGGATGATGTGTGCGGTTGAGCATATGCCCCATCTTCTTAATGGTCCACGGTATGTCCATCCTATCGAAATTTCTGTTTCATCAATTAACTTGCGTTGTTTCCTCAGCGAGGTCGTTTAGATGTATTCTCGGGTTATCTCTGCCTGTGCAGATCTATGCGTCAGAGCTTTCGCAGAAATCTTACTGGGAGAGGTGTCATTGCGAGCCGCTTAACCACCAGCTTCAATGCACCCAGCATTAAAAGTTTGGAGAGGGGTTGAATGCATGTACTCAGCTCTTACTAATGCGTCCGTGGCTGGTGGTTTGATTGCTACCGAATAACAATAAATATCCAATCTTAATTAAGGTCATTAACACCTGAACAGATGTGGGTGGGGTGGGAAGGGTGATTTTTTCGACCATAAAGGGGTGGCCGCCAATCTGAGGACGTCGATGAGTTTTATCTTCCTTATTTTATCAACTTGTTGTAATTAAACGCTTGAATTATTCACTACAAATTTATTCTCACCCATTATTTTCCAACATCTGTCTTTCAATCAGCCCCATGTATTCATTTCTGAACAAACTAATTACTACTCCACCTTTAACCACCCGAGAGCGGTATCTCGCTTTAGTTTGTGTGTGTGTGTGTGTTTGTTGCCCCCTTTCCTCTCTTTCATTCATCTGCCACGTGCGTCATTGAAGGGCTATTACCAAGCTAAGAATTCGCAATGAATGTTCTTTTAAAAATGTAGGCGCGAGTATGTGTGGCCTTCAAGCTTACATTTACATGGGGTGGACGTGGTTACCTTTTTAAAGGTTTATAGACAAGTCAAACTGCGATTTCCTTCCCTTCGTGTTTCAAAACTTTGAGGCTTAGGGTAGTTGACGGTTTTTAAAGATAAAGTTTTACATTCCTTTATACTCTTATCTTTCACTTCGCAAATCGGCTTATGTTCATGTTAGACGAATGAAGGTGAATTTTGCCTCTGTTATTTCTAATTAATAATCCTTCGTAGAGTTTCCCTTGTTATCGCCACCTTATCAAAAGTTGTAGATTTGTAGTTGTTTAGCTAAAACAGCCATATTCAATTGGCTGTTTAGAGTGTCTCATCAATGTAAATTTGATTTAACTCCAAAAAGTTATTTCAATCTTTTTTGTTAATTCTCATAGTTTTCCATCACTCTGTTTAGTGTCGATTGGCTTAATGAGGACTCTTAATACTGAAAATTGGCAAGACATCACTCTTGTCTTGACAATCGAACATGTGAGAACACATACTGTCTTAGTCGGCGAAAAAAGTTCTCTCATAAAACAATCCATCGACAATACCTTTGCCTTCTTTTTGGTCGCCTTGACTGACCTATTCTTTCTTCCATTTGCTAATTTTACTTCCAGACTTGTTTCTAATTATAAAGCTAAATGAACATACAACTTTGCTTGAACTATTGTCTTTAGTGTAAAATACATTCCAACCCAGTAGCTTAATAACGTGCATTTTTTTTTAATTTGGCTACTTATTATTCATTTGTTGGCTAAAGTCTATACAAGAGTGCTCTGAAAATTCAAATGGCTAGAGATGTTTCTATGGGGATTAGGAGGATATTGTTGACTGAGTAGATGGGAAACTGGAATTTGGTATTTCCATCGAGAAATCTTACCTTTCTATGGACTCGTCTCAAATACCTTCCTGTTTTGGTGGTGCCACTTTCTTCCACTAACGATGCTGTTATAATTATTGTAGTATTCTGACTAAAACTCCATTTCAGTCAGAATATTGAATACGTCTATTGAGTTAATACAGTAATGAGCCTCTTGTTATTGCGTATACTTCAGAATATTAACAAATGCCCGAACCTGATTGAGGTCAGGCATAGAGACAGATGGAAAAGTAGTCATTGGGACTAGGAATGTCTGACTATTTAAGTGTTTACTGCCGATTGGATAAATGAGGTCAACTATACGATTTTTAAGAGATTTGAACTGAGCTAAGCCAATTTGTTCTGTGCCAACTATACATATCTAATAGCTGATCGAGTAAAGTTTGAGAAAATGTGGTTTCATATATCAATAGCATGGCAGTCTGTTTGTTAATCAGTTTTCAAGGACATCATGATAAGCAAGTCAGTAAACAGTATGACTAATTATTTTGGTTAATATTGGTGAAGAAGGCGAAAAGAGAGTACCATTTCTCTTGATGCCTTTATCATTTTATGTAATGTCCTTCCTTCCTTAGGATTGAGAGCAGCTATTTGTGCTAATTTAAATTCAATTATTCTGTTTCTGGAAGTGTTTTCGTCTACTCCGAGTAGTAAGTTTCTGCCTCTTCCATCTTTAGGTGTTATAACCAACGTTGACTCCTCCAAATCCCAAGTTTGGTCTCTCTGTCCTGGTTGCTTGTTAGATAGCTTGGAAGAAACCGTCCGATCTTCGGAGAATTCCAACGGCTCTTCATCGACGTTTCAGTGTTCTAGATGTCAAGCTAAATGTGACCGACCTTTCCGAGCGGTAGAAATTGTGGTCGAAATGACTCACACCAACCAAAAGCGAATCTCTTTTAAAGTATCTGTAAGTCCTCTAAGGTTTTCTAATAAGTTTTGCTTGCAAAATGAAGCCAATTCTATTGAACCCCCTCCCTCCCCCCCCCATGCTTTTAGATACTGCCCTCGTATCTCGCAGCACTATTGAAGATTGCCGAGTCAAGAATCTACTGCTCTGAATCTCTCAATCCCAAGCGGCTTATTGGCCAATCTGTGACTTTCCCCTTTGGTCTTCTAATTAGACTATCAAGATTCAAGTCGGCCGGAACCGATTTTGTCATCCAACTGCACCCAAATTTGTTTTTTTAATTCCCTCACCTTGTATTTTATTGTTGCATAATTTATTTTTTCATCTTATAAGTTTTTTGTGTTTTTTTTTATCGCTCTGTTATTTTTGGAACTGCTGAATTGCACTTTCTATGCAGTGGGAAGTATGCAAATGGGTTTTGGTGAATTTGCATTTGAAGATAGGTTTTCAGTGTGACAATTGAATTTCATAAAAGTATAGGCGGCAGATTTACTCTATGAAATTTCAAGAGAAGATCATTTTTTTAGCTGAGTCACTTGACTGTTAATGTGATACATTCACAATCGGTCAGCAATATGAATCCACAATTCTGCAAGGTTAAAGTAAAGGGGTAAATATTGTGCCTTCGATTGTATTTATTTATTTATATCAAATGGCAGGCGTTTTGATAGTTATCATTAACCCTGGAGCTGACTTCGGGGCTTCACGAAGAGAAGAGACAAAAAAGTGACAAAAAGTCGAGATGGGAGACAGAATAATGATTCACAGAGGTAAAAGAGACAGACAGACACAAAGGCATAAAAAAGGTAAGAGGAGTACTGTGAAAAGGGTCGAACATGACAAATAGTCGGGCCATAGTAGTTTGAAGTCAGAAGTCAACTGCCGGTTTGATAGACTTTTTTGCCGTATGAGTATACGCTGCCCAGGGTGCACCACGTGGAGG